GGAAAGAGGAATGTAGGTGAGGCTTGAAACTGTCCCTCACACGTCATCATTTCGGGTGAGCGCCTCTCACCCACAGTCAGGGATCGGAAGCAGAGAGATAAGTCTGTGGGACCAGAGCTCCTGCTGTTCTTCTTTGTCTCTTGGCTTATTGAATATCTAGATAGGGTTTTTGGGTTTTTTCTGCCTGAAGTAAAATGTCTTTTCAGGACATAAAAAATAATTTCGCTTTCTCTGGTACCTATGAGATCTGCTGTTTTCTATATCGAGAGAGAGTATGGTAATTATATAGTTCCTTTGCATTAAATACATTTGTTAACAGAACTAAAATAAAATCTCGCCACTACATTTTGACTGCATGGTATTCTTTTTTTTACATTTCTTAGATGAGAGAAGGTAAATTGTCAGTGACAAGTAGCTTGCTGGACTACAGGAAAAAGGTTTGAATGGGTCATCTATTGACATTTATTTCAGATGCCCCCAAAGGGTTGAAAACTGCAGTGTCTGCGTAAGGAGTGGGTCTCAGATCCGTAGATTCCCAGGACATCCTCATGTAAGCCCTCCCACGCTGCCGAATAGCTGAAGATAGTCTTTCTCAGCAGCTGCACGCTGATCTTTCCCAGGACAAGGAGAAGCAGCATGCTTTCCCCTACGCACATTTCAGTGAGCGTGGAAGGAAGGAAGGCTGTTGTGTAGGACACAGGCGCAGGTAGAGTTGGCCGGAGTGGGGAGAAGGTGCAGCATTGCCACCACCTGCTGCTTCCAGGAGCCGATTGCTCTACACACAGGAGAATGGGCTTTAGGGTGACCTTATCGATGGGGAAGGCAGAGGCTCAGGAAAAGGACAGACGCAGACTACACAGTGTGGGCACAGCCATCTCCAGAGACACCTGTAGGTTTTCTCCCTGCTAGCCCTGTACCGTTATTACCGTACTTCACTGCATTGCGCTGTTGGTCTGGAGGAAGCTACGGTAGTCTCATACCTGGATCCTAAAGGAGGGCGGGGCTGAGTACTTGCCAGCAATAGTAAAATAACACGGACAGCTAGGCATGCTGAAAACATGGGATAATCACCAAAAATGGGCATTTAGGTTACTCAGGAATCAGCCTGTGGTTCAGAGTCACCAGACAGGGCAGGGAGAAAGGGGATTTTATATACTTTGAGTCAAAACTTTTAACTAAACCCTAGAAACACTATTTGACTAGACCATTTATACAAACACATATTACATGGATTACCCTGCTGCCCAGGAAAAAGCAATGGCTTTGAAATTCATAGCAATGATGTAGAGTAAGATTGAGTATAATAATTTTCTGTTTCTTCTGTTCAGAGTTACCCTAAAAATAGTTCATCTTTCTTCCTTGTAAAAACAGTTTATTGCTGGTTACTCAAAGATGACGTCATTGTTGTCCTGATCTGATTAGTGTTCTGTCATTTGTACTGCACCAAGAAAGGGCACACAGATTACACACTACAGCAGCAGCAAAATGACTTTCTGAGATGAAGCAGAAAATCATAATAACTGTTATGAAAAGAAAATTGGAAAAACTCAAATGCTATTTGTAGCTTTTTATATAAGTGGACACTTAATCATAGAATCACAGAATGGTTTGGATTGGAAGGGACCTTTAAAAATCATCGAGTCCCACCCCCCTGCCATGGGCAGGGACCCCTCCCACCAGCCCAGGTTGCTCAAAGCCTCATCCAGCCTGGCCTTGAACCCCTCCAGGGATGGGGCATCCACAGCTCCTCTGGGCAACCTGGGCCACTGCCTCACCCCCCGCACAGGAAAACATTTCTTCCCAATATCTCATCTCAGTCTCCCCTCTTTCAGCTTCAAACCATTACCCCTCGTCCTATCGCCACACTCCCTGGTAACAAGTACCTCCCCATCTCTCCTGGAGGCCCTAAAGCAACTTTAATGGATTCTGTTCAGTGGCTTTTCCACCTAGTTCATGGTTTGATGAGAGTGTTCAAAAATCTTTGCCTGAATGTCACAGTTACATCTTGGCTTACTGATTTTTCTACTTTGTTATTATTAATAGCCTAGCTGGTTAACTAATAAGGTTAAACATGCCCTATGGAAAAATACCTGCCTTGTCCTTGTGAAAGTTCAAATAAATAAAAAATGTGTGTAGTTAAATTGGGGGCCTGAGCACTTACCAGATTTCTTCCAGTTGGAACACTGATCCAAGCAGTCACTCAGCAGCAGCAGCTATAGAACTCCTATAGTATTTTGCTGCGTTGCATTATTTAGTTGTGTTGACTTCGGCTGTCCCTAGAGCTACTGGCAAGTTCCACAAAGACCTAAGAGATGAAATAGTTACAGGTATCAGAAATAGGCATGAGAAAACAGTCCATTTACAGAGTGCTGTGACCAGCCCTTTCACCATCAGGATCTGAGATTATTTTGTTTATGTTAGTGATACCATTTTACTTCCATTTGAACTGTAATAAAGAAATCTATGAACATTTATTTTAAGTAACCCAAACCTAGGGTTACTTATTCACATGAATATTACTACTAATGAAGTCCTATGCATACAGTTGCCCACAATCTTAAATACAATAGCAGGGCCTAACGTTTATTATGTTTAACTATACTGATTTCCAGAGCTTTCTTGATAACACTTTCCTACAGTCTGATGCTGCTCACTGTTGTAAAGCACAGTACAGCAGAAGTATTTAGCAACCGTTCAGTGCCTAGAAAATCCTCACGCTGAGGATGTTCTGGTTGATAAGCATGGATACTTATAGTCCCCAACAAGCAATATAAGATCTGTTTTCTGAGCAGCTTGCTGGTTCAGGAACTGGAAATGAAGTACAGAGCTGCTTCTCCTTAGATCGCTGTTTCATGCCTGGCCCACACGACCAGGGATTGAATGCTCACTGCTCACTACATCTATGCAGAGTGATTTGGCAGGATCCATCCAGTTCCTAAATCACCGCTCTGGCAGGGTTTGGCAGGGTTTGGTGAGCCTGGAGCCAGCTTCCACATGAAGGCAGACAGATGTATGACTGCAAGACCATGGAGACTGAAGTGCTGTCACCCGAAAGGTGTCCCCTTGGGGAAAAGGTCGTGACGCATTGACACAGCGGAGTGTGGGAAGCTGTTACTCCATCCGCCTGTCTGGGGATGAGGAGAGCACTGCTGCTTGCAGATCTGGTTTCTCTTGTCGGCCCTGTATTTGCCCAGACTTCAGTGAAAAAAATAAAGAACTGGGTCTGAATGTGTGCCCTGTGTTATCATTTGTAGCAGCAGGTTTCCGGCTGAAGGAACGCTGTTAACTCTTCAGCAGCCTTTCTCTCCTGCAATCTGTAATGGAAACAGAACTGAAATTTTCATGGACATGCCCGTGTTCCAGTGAGGAAGTATTACATGAATCAAGAATTTTATCACAAGGTACCACCTGTCTAGGCAACACCCAACTGGGTAGATTGTTTTTCAACAATCAGAATTTGACCTATTTACAGCTTATTTAAAGAGTTCTTTAAATTCTCAGCATGAATTTGAAATGGGTTCGCCCAATTCTCTGTTTCTGCAGCATTAGTTCCACAGTAGCAGCCTCCCAAGGCAATCCATTTCATTCCAAGGTCATCGGATGAGAAGGGTGTTTTTTACAGTTGCATTACACTGATTTTCACGAGTCCAGTTTACAGACGAAAAACTGCTGCAAGCCACTGCGCCGTGGTGATGTCAAACTCGGTGAGGAGCTCTGCTGTTTGGGGTGAGAGCAAACATATTCCGAATAACCAGCAGGAACTGCGAGACAAATCATGCAGCCCTTACTTTCACAAAACCCTCTCTGACTTCAGTGGGAGTTTTGCCAGAATAAGGTCTGCTGGATTTAGCTCTGTATTCTTCCTCCTGACAGAACAAAGCAGAAATTAAAGGGCCAGCATCAGATTTATAAGACAGAGAATAAAAAAGAACTGTAATTATCTAAAATAACTACTTTCATCCAACACAAACCAATGTTCCATTAGACACAGTCTAATTTATAACAAAAATCAA